AGCGTCGCTTATTTGTACTTCTATATATTGAAAATTTAATTAATAAAGCTTGATTTTTAATAACTTCGTTAACTAATGAAAAAGTACAGTGGTAAAGAAGTACAGAACTACGTAATTTCACAAGAAATAATGTGTTTATTACTTTATTACTATTTTCTAAGTTAAAAAATTGTTTCTAAGTAAAGTATACCTAGGCAAGGTAAATCCCAGAGATACCCAAGATACTTAAAGTTTCATTTGTGAAGTATCTTTTGCATTATTATGAATGACAGTTACATTTCTTAGAAAAAAAATTTACTATATTAAGATGTAAAAGTACTCTAAACTGTATAAATTCAACTGTATAAAATTAACCAATCACAAGAAAGTTTTTCTATAGGTTTCAACCAAGGTGCCAAGTCCAAAACATTCAAAACTGGGCGAAATGTCTGAAACTGAGTGAAACATCTGAAACTGGGCAAAACATCTGAAACTGGGCAAAATGTCTAAAACTAGATGAAACATCTGAAACTAGGTGAAACATCTGAAACTAAGTAAAATGTTTGAAACTGGACAAAATGTCTAAAACTGGACAAAATATCTGAAACTAGACAAAACATCTGAAACTGTGCAAAATATTTAAAACTGGTCAAAATGTTCGAAACTGGGTAAAACTAGATGAAACTTGATCTTATCTTTACCAAAATCAATATAACACATGAAACAGACTTCAATATGATGATTTTTAAAAGTCATATTTCCATTGCATTTAAAATTATCCAATGGAATTTTTAGAAATTCTATTGGTTGATTTTAAGTATAACAAATACATGACTTTTAAAAATTATTGTATGTGGAATCTATGAGACAGTACAATCTCATATATAATATAAAATCTTCTCTCCTAAATGCTAAATAACCAATCACAACTTAAACATATAATTTTGTACTAGGTCTAAGCAGGAACTAAAAAATATTTAGATATCAATTTCAAAAAATTTATTTGGATAATAATAAAATTTTGAATATAATTTGAATATAAATTTTATTTATTTTTCTTTATTAAAATAGATTATATTAAGTATTCTTAATGATTCTAAACTTAAATTTTGATGATTATCATTCAAAATATTATTATATACTGAAAAGTTGCATTCAACTGTGCATGCAAAAATAGGTAATTATATATATTCTATTGCTATATTATATAAAAGTGGAAGAGATGATAAAGCCTTTTCCCAAAATATATCTAAAGTATTATATTCAATTGTAGCTAAATTAAGATTACAATAAATGCTTCATTTATATAAAAGTACAATAGATAGATTTCTAAATTGAAGAATATCTGTTATATAAGAAGAAATATTTTGATTTTTAGTTCATAATTGAATAAATTAGAGATTAAAAACTTGGATAGCTTTAAAAAGTAGTTAAGAAAGATGTAAAAAAATATGCTTAGAGAATTTTTTAAAAACAGATTCAAATGCATCTTGAAATATAGAAGAAAAAGAAGAAGGTTTATCATTAAGTTTTAAAATAATATTATTAATAACTTGATCAAAATTATTATTAATTTTACCATTATTAAAAAATATTTTTAATTGTTGAATTAGAGTTTCTACAAAAGAAAATATAGGCTTATTTTCTTTTTGAAAAATATTAAGAACATTAATAAAAATGGCACATAATAATAAATAAATGTAAGATAAATTTCGATCTAATTATTATTTGTGTATTATTAAAAATAGACATTACTTTATCAATAGAATCAAAGTTGTTTATTTGGTGTTGTTCTTTAAAAAAACTTTGAACATATTCTAAATACTTATAAATATAAATTGCTATTTCAAACCAGAAGTTCTATTATGTAGCATTTGGTAATAGCATAAAATGAAGTATTAAATTATTAGATAAAATTTGATTATTACTTTCAGGTAAAATACCATGTTGTTGTAAATACTTCATATATTTAACTCATTAATTTTTTGTATTCAAAAAGTTATTTTTATTTTTGTAATTAATTTTTTTATAACATCAAAGTGATGACTTGAAATCTAAGCTTCTCTAAATCATTAATAAATAAATAAAATAAATAAATAAATAAATAAAACAGACTAAAAATAAATATCCAATCAAATTTAGAATATGAGCCAGACAAGGATTATGTCTTATTTGCAGATTACTTGAACAAGTATTTTGTACATATATTTTTTTATATAGGCTACTAAGTCTAATATTATAAGCTGTAAAGAAGTTAAAAAAATAGACCATTCTACTAAAATTTGTAAAACAAGTTGGCTAATACTAGTATTATTAACTTTTTGTAAGAATTCTATTGAAACTAACTTTGACTTTCCCTTATAACTAAATAAAATATTAATAACACTACAAGCATAGCTATCAGTTGTCTCATTAATAATTATGGCAACAGGTTTTTCTACAAATTTATTTCAAAATTTTTCTATATGCTTATAAAATATTTTTGTCAAATACTGTTTTTTCAATGCACTTGAACCTAGAATAATACTATATTTATAACAATATTTAACTAAAAACCCATGAAACTTATCAAATTTTTTTAATAGAATATTAGTACCAACCCAAATCATAGACCATTTCTCTCTTTGTGTCAGCAATTTTTATTGCAGAGAGAAGAGTTTGTTGTCAGGTGCTTTAATTATTATTAAGATAAGTTTCTTAATTTTTTTTATGCATTTTTGAATTTATATGGGAGGTTACATATACTTTATTCTTATAATTAATACTGCACCCACAAAAACAGCACATCAGCTTGGTAGAATCTACTACAAAATCTTCAAAAAACTTCTGAATACATGAAAAAGCTGTTATTTTCTTTGTTGGTAACATTTTTTTAAATTATGTTTTGTAATTTTGCTGGATTGTTTTTTTTATTTTTTTTTTGCATTCTAGTACTTCATTTTTTAGCTTATGAAAGTTTGCTCTTTTGAAAATTTTGTATGTACTTTCATGATATTTTTTAGATTAAAATTCTAACCAATCAGGATTTATAAAATCAAATTACTCAAAAATTTGAAAAAATTTGGATTGATTTGGATCTAAAAATTTTCTAGTCCCTGTTAGAACAGTAATTAGAATCAAGAACCAGAAAATTTTTGAATCCAAATTAATCTAAATTTTTCCAAATTTTTTAGCATTAGCCAAATTTTTCTAAATTTTTAAGTAATTTGATTTTATGAATCCTGATTGGTTAGGATTTTGATCTAAAAAATATCATAAAAGTATATACAAATTTTCAAAAGAGCAAACTTTCACAAGCTAAGAAATGAAGCACTAAAATGCAAGAAAAAAATAGAAAAACAACTTAGCAAAATTACAAAACACAATTTAAAAAAATGCCACTAACAAAGAAGGTGATAGCTTTTTCATGTGCTTAGGAGTTTTCTGAAGATTTTGTAATAGATTCCACCAAGCTAATGTGCTGTTTTTGTGGGCACAGTGTTAATTATGAGAATAAAACATATGTAGCCTCCTATATAAATTTAAAAAAGCATAAAAAAAATTAGAAAACTTATCTTAATAACAATCAAAGCACCTGACAACAAACTCTTTCCTTTGCAATGAATATTGCTAACATAAAAAGAGAAATAGTTTATGACTTGCTTAAAGCTTGGGTTGATGCTGATATTTCATTAGAAAAATTTAATAAGTTTTATAGGTTTTTAGTTAAATATTGTTATGAAGGTAGTATTATTCTAGATTCAAGTGCATTGAGAAAACAGTATTTGACAAATGTATTTCATAAGCATATAAAAAAACTTCAAGATGAATTTGTAGAAAAACCTGTTGCTATAATTATTAATAAGACAACTGATAGCTGTATTCATAGTGTTATTAATGTTTTATTTAGTTATAAGAGAAAGTCAAAATTAGTTTCAGTAGAATTCTTATAAAAAGCCAATAATACTAATATTAGTCAACTTGTTTTACAAATTTTAGTAGAATGGTCTATTCCTTTAACTTCTTTATAGCTTATAATATCAGACTCAGTCAACCAGAAGTGCTGGATCTCAGTATGAAATGAACCAGACTTGTATTTTCCGTCTTGCTAAAGTCTATTTGCAAGAAACTGACCTCACTATCACTGAAGCATTGGAACCCCAAGTGAATGATCAGATCAATCAACCATGGACCTATGAAGAAATGGACCTTATCCTACG